GAGGTAGTGAGGACATACATCTGTTTTTTTTATTCTAAGTATCAAATAAGGTCATAACACTTGTGTTTTCGACGAAGGTCAAAAACGCACGCTGTTGCGCAATTTCGTAGGAATTCATTTCAGTGCTCAGTTAGCGTCAATAATAAACTGAAAGACGCACGAATCAGCTGAATGAAACTTTATTTTTGTACAACAACGCCCAAAACAATGAAACCAGGCCTGCTGTAAAACTTTCGCTATCAATGAAATGATAATACTTTCAGGCAAAGTTAAGCCATCTTTATGTTTTTAATTTCAAGTTATTTTGACCGGGGAAATTACCAAAATTAATGAAAAATACCCTCTGTCTCAGCCAATCAGCATTAAGTAATTTTTCCCTCTAAGTAGTAAGTCTTGCAGTTGACTACTCTCCCGCTCAGCTTAAATACTAATGCAATCAGGGCATGTGTGGATTATTCTTACCTCGATAGAAGACGTTCGTAGCTCAAATAAAGCGTAAAGTTTGGTTCAAAGTATCAAATAATTTGACTTTCTCAGGTGGCAGCAACGGTCCGTTTCTTTGTGGCAAGGAGACAACGTTCGAGGGTGGAATGAGAGAACCGTCCATAGCCTGGTGGCCAGGGAAGATAAAAGCAGGCCAGGTTTGGAATTTCTTCGTGTATTTAATGGAAGTGGATCCATTCCTGTTTTAGTTTATGACAACCTGTAACATATTTCAATTGAATTTGGTACATAAATAGTTCGACATCTGAAAGGAACTTAATACTCGGATCGTTTCGCTTACAAGGAAATATTTTTCATCGTATAAGCGAGCCTAAAAAAAGGCCCATTTTTCTTATTCTTCTAACTCAAGCAGGACTTTGAAATAGATAATCTAAGCGCACAGGACGCGAGTCACATATGAGCCAAAAGATTATTTTCTCTGGTGTGAACATAGGGATGACCCTGCTCACCGTAGAGTCTGTTGTTCAGTGGAAGAGCGTCGAACTGCGAACCCGAAGGTCTGAAGCTCGATTCCAAATGGGGACTCAGAATTGTTTCTTCCTCCCACTCTCGTGGAAAAAGGAATTAAGCTTTTCTTTATTACCAGATTGTTGCTGAAATGTTAAAACTGATCTACTTCTTTGTGTAGGTTAGTCACCAGCTGGGCACACTAATGGATCTGTTTACAACAGCGTTATCGCTAGCGGGAGCAAAGTCTCAGGCTAAGAAAGTGATCGACGGAATTGATCTCAGCCAGGTTCTTTTTAATCAGAGCGTTACTGCAAGGTAATTTAAAACATGTTTAACTCTCAAATCCCTAAGAGTGACTAGTGTCAAATTTCTCCCCACAATATAACCCCTAAACAAAACATTTAAGGTCACGAGAAGAAAGGGAATGATCACCAAGGGAAAAAAGCTCTTGATTGTTCGACAAATTCTCCTCGTCAGCACCTTAAGAAATTTATAGAGAACATTATAGGGAATATACATACTGATGTCAAGGTGTAAAGGGTTATGTGCCGATCATTTCGAAGCTTCAACATCCCCAATAACAATATGTTAATATTTTCTTAATTGTTTTGACGAACAATTTTAACTTATTTCTCTAAACTGTAGCGACAATTTTCCAGAAAACTGAAAGTATCCCACGTACATTACCATGTGTTTTTGTATTTGTCCTCAGACCTGTTTTTTTCTACCGTGGTAATGAGATGATGGCAATCAGATATGGCTTGTACAAGGCCCATTATTGGACTTGGTCTAATAGCTGGGAAGAATTCCATGTAAGATCAGTGCGATCCTGTTTTTTCTCTTTTCAGTACAATACAATCTCTCTGTGGGTCCCATTTCCAGGAGGCACCTCTCTTGAAGAGAGACAAACTTTCCATCCTACACCTTTTCAAGTTTTGTATTTGTCACCTTGGATAAATTAAAGAGATGCCTCTAACAATGCACCCTATTATTTCCCTCACCTAAACAACAGTTACAATTGTCTCAGTCTTGTAAAATAACATGATGAAAATGGAGGGTAAGTAACATCCAGAAATAACGTTTACTAGTTAAAAATACTAGGTCAATTATGTAATTTTGCAGTTTATGGTCGGTAGTTTCTTTTTTCTGGATAGTTTATCTCTAATCTAGAGATATTTTTTGACTTGCACTGGGGTACCCTGACTGGCGTTTGCCATAAACGGTGGTTAAAAAAATGTTAACTCTGAATAAAGACAGTGATTATATCTAGCTCTCCTGCACATTTAAAAAAGTTTGGCAATCATACCATTTTACATCAACCTTCGTCATCAATCAGTAGTGTCTTCAGGGAGCAAATCTCTCACGAGCTTTCCCTCCAGAGACTGTCTTAAAATATTTCCTCACCTGTCTCTGTCTTGGGCCACCACGTTACACCCTCATTTTCCCGCGCGTGAGGGAGATTTTACCTCGAGATCTTAATGGTACCGGTGATTACTTGTACTGGTGAGCTGTTGTGATTAAATTGCGTCGTGTCTTACGACACTTAATGGGCTTAAAATTTGTCTTCTTCTGATATCAGTCGGTTCTTTCCTTCGTATTACAGGAAGGGGTCGACTTCTGTCCCGGTGAGAACGTGACAGGTGTTACAACTCATGAACAAATGAACTATACAGCCTCTCCTGTTCTGTTTCATTTGGGAAGAGACCCAGGGGAGAAATATCCCATCAGGTACGCTCAATTCATTCTTGTCAAAGCTGAACTGATAGTGCAATGGTTGATACATTTCATCTAGTCGGCTTTTGTTGGCGAAATTCGCTTCGATTTTTTTTTTCGCGCAAAAGTGACTTATGTATTAAAACAATTATTCCATCAACAGATCCGCTGAGCAGGAATACAAGGATGTTATGATAACCATAAGAAAACTGGTTTCAGTGCACAAGTCTAGTTTAGTGCCTGGCGAACCTCAGTTTAACCTCTGTGATGAAGCTGTAATGGTACGTCTGTATGTGTGTTTACGCATTGAGAGTACTTTCAATTGAGGGTTCAAAGTAATTCGTGATGCATTGTTTTTAACGGCTTTACTTTGCTTTTTGATTACTCTTAAGAAGTACTATTCTATCAACCAATCAGATGGCAAATTGAACCTTACGTGGACTGAGCCAATTTTTTTCCTTTTAGAATATTAGACACTCATCGTCACGGTTTACCGCCTTTTTCCCATAGAAATCCCTACATTTTCATTATTGCGGGCCAACACGACGGGATAGATGTACTTGTGTGTCAAACTCGAACTCCCTTGTGACAGTGGTTTCAAAAGTACACCCATTTCCCTTTACGGAACACGCGCAGTTTGACGGAAACTTATTTTTCACTTTTGTCTTGTAGAACTGGGCGCCACCCGGATGTGAGGAGATCGACGAATGCTATAAAGGTCCAACATCACATCCCTACAAATGCCCTTGGCCTCACTAAATGGAATACTAGTCCTTTAATTTTTTTAGTTGGAATTCATGGAAGACATCATATTTACGTATTTTCCAACTTGTCAAATTATGCAAATGAAGAATTACATGGCAGATGATTCTAATAATTTTCTTCGAAGATGGATATTTTGAATAAGACCGGAATGGAAGAATACTTAATGACTCTTGGTTCACTGATAGATGTGGGCTCTCATTCCCTCTCCGTCGAGAGCTTCAAGTTTAAAGTGAGCCTAACCCCTTCCCTCCCACCCTCTGGGCCATTTAGATAGTATTCAGTATATTCGTTATGAACAAGGATTAAGAAGAAAAAGAGAAAATAAAAACGGGTTGAAAACAGCGAAGGTTCAAAATTTAGATGCGTTTGATAGGGGTGTTTTTTGATAGGTGTGATTTATGTCCTTTTCTGTAGTGGACACGAAAGACCACTCAGGGTTAGGATCCTAACTTGGGCAAGATAAAATGTGTAATCTACTCTCCGCAGAGCTGATTGATAGTTAATTGAATCCAGGGCTCTGAACACAATTGAAAGCGTTTTATAAATATTATCCAGTCTCCCCCCTCTCCCCTCCTGCTAAAACAAAAACAAAAAAACAAAAATAGAATACCTTTGGCCAACTCGTGTATAAAGCACTTGATCTAGAGATGAAACATGGACGTGAACTTGTAATTATTGGTCTTGCAGCAAAGCAAGGTTGCTCTTATCTTAAAAGACAAGCTACCGGAAAATCACGTAGAGGTTTCGACAATTATGGTAACCATCCAACTCCGCAGAATGATGAACGCATATAAAATCTTCCAACATAGCACAGCGTAGTATTCTGCGTTTATCGAATTTCCGTTTGCAAAACTCGTCAAATTTAGACGGTCCAATCCAGTGGATGATACTAAAGACTGGAAATAAACGGCATAATCATAACTTATTCTGTGATCCCACCACCCACTTGCTCCTATCTCTCATTCAAACAAATTCCCTAAGACACACCGTCATTTTACTTTTTTAAATTATTTGTTGACGTTATATTAATGTTGTTCATATTGTTTTTTTTGGTTTTGTTTTAGTTTTACCTAGTTGTTCCAAATTCCCTCCAGAATAAATTCTCGGTTACCTCAAGACTCCCTTTCCTGGGCTCTTAAGACTTTTATTTCCTCCCATTTTCACACCCATCCCCTCTCCTCCGTTAAATTATGAACTTTCGTATACATTACCTTTCCCACAATTCTCCGTCTTTTAGCGAAAGAAACAAGGCTTTTTCACAGCGATGCGTCAAAAGAATTCACATTTGAAAACGCCCATATATGAAAGTCTCCATTATTCTGCGGTGTCTTCTTAAAACAACTTATGATCCTAATTTGTGCTGACAAATGAGGACTAATAAAGCACGGGTGACATACTTATCAGGCCAGCACCCTACCCCTCCCCTCATCACGGCAACATACACGCGCGGTCAACCTGGTAACCAGTGTGTAATGTTTCTACTCCAAATATAGAAAGTGGTTTGAATTTCGACCAATCAGATACTCGCATCAAGCCAACGTCCGAAATTCGAAGTTTTAATCTGGCGTTTAAACTTTTCGAAGTAGGCAGTGTTTCCGTAGAAGGACAAAGACTTATCACATGGAATTGACAGGTTAATCAATTTCTCAGCATAAGAAAAGTTAGATCAACTAGAAATATGGTAAGGGTATCCAGAATTTCACTATGTCAGTGAATGTGTGTCTGATTTAGGAAGCATTCTCCACATAGAGGTATATGTGTTCATCGCCGAGGACGAATTGGTTGTCGTCGACTTTTCTTGTCGAAAGCTTTCGATCATTTGTATGTATTTCAAGTTATGATAACCATGTCCTCTGGATATCACATATTTTGAGTTTTTTACTCTATTTTTGTGTAACACATGTCATTTATAGGCTGATGTCTTTTAAAGTTTAACGAGGAACGTTTGAAGTGATTAAGGAGAACACGCACACGCGCTCGTGTTATTACTAAAACTTCATTGAAAGGTATCGCTAGATTAACGGGTTCAAGGCAATGAATTACTGCATATTCTCCCTGTTTTTATTTTTCAGGATGTTCTCAAAACGAACGGAGTTAACAACAACGCGAATCCTCAGCGCGTTGCCCTGAAAGAAACACAAGACTTGAAAGTTAGACTGCAAGAATGCCTTCACTTATCGACATCGAACAACCAGGCTAATCGACAATTGCAACAGGCAACTCACAAGCCGAATGGATGGATAAAACAAGAACACTCTTCTGCACAAAAACATCGTCAACATCATCATCATGTTGAACGAACAGATGACAAATCGTCTGCACATTCACGAGATGAAAATAAAGAAAACAACGAGAAAGAAAACTTAAAGAAGTCTAAGTAAGAAGTTAATTCTTGTCGAATTATGAACCATACGTGAGAGATGGAAATCTTGCGTTGTACTTCTAAGTACAACATTCTTTCCATAATGTTTAATATATTTCGTTATTTAACAGGACCTGTTGGTCATTGGACGACTTTGATATTGGCAAGCCGCTTGGAAAAGGTTGGTTTCTTGTCAATTTTGCATGCACACAGATCAAATTTCCAAACGAGCTCGTATCTTGGCGCGTTGCCTCTTGTGAGAATTTTTTGGCGATCCTTTCATGTTTGAAAGTGAAATGAAAAACATACACACACCACTGGTGGATAATGCTGTTTCTCAGGTTAATGTTCTTTCCTTATTTAATATTACACAGGCAAATTTGGAAATGTTTACTTGGCAAGGGAAAAGAAGAGTAAATACATTGTAGCCCTCAAGGTATGTCAGACACGACTGGTTATGGAGATTCATACATATATAGATTATATATCATCCTTCCATAGTTTATAATTTGACAATATCATCTGAACAACACACCAGGCTCAACTTCAATTTAAGAAAGGAATTCAATTAGATTAACTAAAAATCAAACTTAAGAAACCCTCAACTTCTACCTGAAACTTTGTCCATCATGAAGCTGAGCTGAAATCGGCATAGACCTGTTCACAATTGAAACTGCAAGATAGACAATCATTTAAAACTGATAGATCAGAAAATCAGAGCCAAACAGACTTCCCAGTGACTTCCTTTCGTAAAACCTTATTTTGATTTTAAAGATGAGGATCTGAATCTCACATAAATGAGAAATATCAAGCCAAGAAAAATATATCCACTGGGTAATTTCCATCTAAACACCTGTCTACAAAGAATGGCAAATGTATATACAATTTTTTCCTTTCTTACCATATGTTTCACATGACAGAATCACCTTTGCATACTTGAGGTCTTGTTGTGTTCTGCCATACTCTGCAGACTGGTCTATTCATAACAAATGTGCAAGGGTGTTCTTGCATAGTAGACTTGATCCTTGCTTCTGGTAGGTTCTTGCTAAGGTAAATGCTGCTGAAATTCAGGGGAAATATTTGTATTCCTTTTTCAGCATACTAACTCACTTCAATCATTTTTCTTTTTCAACTATTTTCAGGTCTTGTTTAAATCACAGCTAGAGAAAAATAATGTGGAACACCAACTTAGAAGAGAAATTGAAATCCAGTCTCATCTCAGGTGAGCTTTAAGATTTTGGGCAACTTATGAATACTGATAAAAATAAATACGTGGATTCAGTCTAAAACATTACATGTTTGACTGGTGGCCATTAATGATAATTTAAAATGGTCACTGGTTTTCTGAATCAATGGCCTCTTTCTGTTTTAAATTTGAGGTGCTGCCAAGATGTCCAGAATTAAACATACATGCCATAACTCTTTTTTTTTTCTTTTTTTTTTTTTTTGATAGGCATCCCCATATCCTTCGCCTTTTTGGTTATTTCTATGATAAGACAAGAGTTTATCTTATCTTAGAGTATGCTCCAAAAGGTGAACTGTACAAAGAGTTGAGTAAAGTTGAGAGATTTGATGAGAAAACATCCTCAAATGTAAGTATCTCGTACAGTCATTGTAATATCTTAATATGTAACTTGTTTCCATCATTTCATTTCAACTTACCAACAGGAGTGCTTACACATAGTATTTATCATTCAATCAGCTTGCAATATTGGCTGAGGGCCTTTCCACACTAGCGCACAACACTAAAATTGTCATGAAAAAATCAAAGGACAATTTTATCTTGACAAATGTTTCTTTTGTTGGTTACATCCATATTAAAAATTTCAAAGGCATTGCATTCTATCAGTGCTTGATCAGTTCATAAGGCTGGCCATCATAGTTTGGCCAATTTCCAGGATTTATCCTATCTTAAGTTGTGTTAAAATTTAAGAATCCCTGAGTTTTGCAACAAAAGAACATTTTTGCCTTTCTTGTAAACTGATTTCAGTTCAATTACACACTGGTCATAGCTTTTATGACAACTGAGCAACAAGTTTATCATTTATGTTGAGTTTGTTCAGTTTTTACCTAGGACAAACTTTGCTAGTGGTGCACCAAAGATTTGTCAGGTTTGGCCAAAATTCATCAAGTCATGACAAACACTAGTGCAGAAAGGCCCTAACTGAAATAAAACAGCTAGAAAATAACTCTTGTTTAAAATTTGTTAAGTTTACAATGTGGCAGTTCTTCTACTGAGATATAACTACTTAGTACCTTTCTTGCATACCTCTTTAGTATATTCGTCAACTAGCACAAGCCTTAAAGTATTGTCACTCAAAGAAAGTCATCCATAGGGACATCAAACCAGAAAATCTTCTACTTACTCTCAAGGTAAAAACACAACACTCTTCACTCAATTACTAATTAGATGTGAAATCCTAATTTCAGTTGAGGTTTGCTAACTTTAACCCCTTAGCTCTCAAAAGTGATCAATATGTAGCCTCTCCCTATAATATTTATACATTATCCAGCAACCAGGTAATGAGAATACTCAAACTTATCAGGTAAAAGTTGCTGTCTTGATCTAACACCAAATTCCTGTAACTAATTTACAAGGAAATGTGTAGCAGCTAGAGGGGAGAAATGACTATCAGATTTTGAGAGTTAAATGGTTGACAGCCTTCTTGGTGCTTCTTTATCACAATTTCATTTTTAATTACAGGGAGATTTGAAAATTGCTGATTTTGGTTGGTCAGTTCATGCTCCTTCATCAAGGTAAAAGCAAAAAAGAAAATAACTATTGACTTAATATATACATGTTGTGTTATCCTTTAATGACCTCAGGTGTCCTTTAGGCCTTAGAGGATAAGTCAGTGAGTAAATATTTGCAAGCTAAATGTACTAAATAATGCAACATTATCAAATACCAACATCTTGTTGTTAAGTAACCAGTGGCACATCCTCATCATTATTATTATAATCACTGAATTTTACTATCATCTTATAACTACTGTAATAATCATAAATAATTTCAGGCGAACAACACTATGTGGAACACTGGATTATCTCCCACCTGAGATGATTGAAGGAAAAGCACATGATGAGAAGGTAGTTCTTTGGAAACAATTTTGAAATAAATTGCCTAACATAAAATCAAATCTTTGTGACAGAAATTTTGGTAAATCATTTGTAGATTACTATGATTCTAAGACCAGCTATTAGTATGTTACATCTAAAATGTAGAACTTTTGGAATTTTCAAGTTCACAAGTCAGGGGGCTTGCGGGACTAAGTTTCCTGGTTGAGGAAAAAGGCTGTGCTCGGAAATAAATTACAGCCATCATGCTGACTCAGCATTAGGGGGATCACTCCAGTAAACAAATAAAGTGTGGCCTTCTGCTTCAAGATATGTACTGCAGTGGTTTACTGAGAATGGCTAATGTGTTACAGGTTGACCTTTGGAGCCTTGGAGTGCTGTGTTATGAATTTCTTGTTGGAAAGCCTCCCTTTGAAGCTGATGGTCACCATGAAACCTATCGCAGAATTTCAAGGGTAAGAAAGTAAAGTTTTTATAGAAGCCTCTGTCAAGTTAACAGCTTTCATCATTATCAAGAATTTTATTCAGCTGAATCATTATGTCTACACAGGTTGACCTCAAGTTTCCAAGTTATGTATCTGAAGGGGCACGAGACCTAATTTCTAAGGTAAACATAAAGTCACATGTCAATTAAGTGTTTTAAAATGACTGGCAGACACTACATGACTAAGTTCTCATGGATCAATAGGTGTGATTAGATGACAGCTTGTCAGCACAGTTGAGACATTTTAGATTTGCATTTGTATAAGGGACTATTTAATCAAATTAGGCAATAGTACCTCTCCTGTTAACAAGACCATGTAAACACAGGGGGAAAAAAAAGTACATAAATTACTTAATTAACATTGGCTGCCTAATGTGCTGTTAAAGAAAATATACGGCCATTTTGAGATGTAAAAAAAAAAATGCAATCACTCTTTTATGGTCAAATTAATTTTTTGGACTAAGTTTACAAAAAAATTGGCTCCTCTCATACAGTCTTAAAAATTTTTCATGAATATTGATTTATTTGTTAACTAGTATCATTATCTTGATTCATCCACAGCTTCTGGTGCATGATCCAAGCAAACGGCTTCCCCTTGGTGGTGTGCTTGCACATCCTTGGATAAGAAACAATGCACAGGCCCCAGAAATGCAATCTACTTGTAGTTATACAGCAACAAAGCATTAGTTTCACACATTCTGCAAATTTATTAATAGTTAATGTAAATACCATAGTATGTCTATAAAAAACTTAATTTGTATAGGCGGGAAAGTTTATTTTTGCTGAAGCTGTTTAATTATGTGCCACTAAATGACAAATGAGACTGGCAGTATGTCTTTAACTTCAATGATAAAAAATTCAGCACTGCAGAGTCATTTTAAGACAAACATCTTTACAAAAAAAAGCTTCTATTAGTTAGTTTACCTTTATTACATTTACAGTGTGTGCTCAATTTCTCACTGGCTAAAGGCAATGACATTATTGTATTGTAAAATAAACTTTTTCCCCAACTTCACTACAGCCTTTAAAATGGATATTAGTCAGTGCAATTACTGTAACACAAAAGATAATGTGTTTGTGTTATGTGGTAAAATGCTTTAATGAACCAATTAAAGTAGTTATTAGAGATCCTAGGCTACATTTCATTTATCACCTTCTTGCCTAGTTTTTGGGAAACAATTGAAAGTAGAGTTTATCATTGACTTCACAGGTGGAATTTTTTTCTAAAAAAAAAAGTGCATGAGGCTTTTTCCATTCTTTGACCAATATTAATAAATCTTGTTTGGATTTGTTGCAAACCAGTACATTTGTAATAATGCAGTGACTATTTGATGTATTAAAATGTTTCCATCTGCCAAAAGACATATTGTTCCTTCACTTTTCAAGTTGTGGGGTTGTAATGTGTATTCCCATTAATGCCTTTAAGTCAACAGTGTTGTAAGGAATGATGGACTCATTTCAAAAATTTGTGCCCGTTAGAACCATGTTACCACGTGGGTTTTGCCCAGAACAAAAACATTTAGCATGAAAATTTTCATTTACACAACAAACTAAGAAAACAATATGTGATGGTCTCAAAGGAAAAGAAAAAAATCAGGTTTAAGAAATATTAAATATATGCAGTAATTCTAAATTCCTCAAAACACTTGGAAAGTGAATTAAGTATTAATTCTTATTTGGGCTTGCGTGAAATATCCATTAGGTCTGGATAGAAGCAGATATGTAACAAACTTAAGAAAATTAACGACACCTTTAAAATTAAAAAACATGTTTCAACAGTTCTTCAAATTATCTTAAATGTTGCCCCATTTGTTTTCAAAATGAGTTTATAAATCATTGCTGAAATTTTTTCTTTCCTTGCACATATTCAGCTTCTTGGGTTAAAAAATCTAAAAAATTTAGCCAAGTGTAAATTGAAGTTACCTTGAGCTACAACCATTTTCAGAACTACCCTACCCTCCCCTCTTGCCCTACCCTACCCTCCCTTGCAAAAAAAATGACCTATAGAGGGTGTGAGCCTACCCATCATGTTTTCATGTGGTTAAAAATTTGATTGAACTCAAAGTATTGGACAAAATCAGAGATGTTAGTTCACCACTTATACACATGCTGAACATTTCCTTTATTGTCCTCTGACAAATATATTTACAGTTACATAGAAGAATATTCTTGTGTAATCTTTCATTACAAAAAGTGGTGAGAAGAAATTTACTCCTAATTAGTGAAATCATAACTTTTGCTTTTAATTAGCTTTTTTAATTATCAATCACAGAACACCTTCCATGCAAGGAATTAACAAATAGATTCCATGTTGCCATGTGTCTGTTAAGTAATAGATCACAGATGATGTCAAATTGTGGTAAAAACAAAAAAAGTGGCACACAAGGCTGAACTGTTATGGTATGAACCCACAGCAACATAGAATCTACTTGTTTTACATCATAAATATAAAAATGTTTATGGTGGTAAATATATGTATCTGTCCTCTAATAAATCACAAAGAAGACCCATTCAAAATGCATGTACCATTCAGCTTATTGAATAATGCTGAGAAGACTATGCACTGTACATCATTACTGCCTCAAAGGTTCCTTGAGAATACCCATTTTGCGGAGCTTCCTGACAATGAGTGGAGTGCAGCTTATGGTCATGAGCATTCTCAATGGAGCAAAAACTTTATGACAAGCATATGCCACCACAAAAGTACTTGCCTCTGTTGCAACACTGGAATCTGACACTGTTGGGCTAACACCAATTTTCTGGAGAGCAGCTTGGACATCAATTCCACTAAAATAAGAATATAATTTTATTGATGTTAGTGTGGTTAAAACTTTCCTTCTTAGTTGCATTCATTTCCAGCAAATATCTGATTGGCTTACATCAGAACAGAGTTATTGGAATGATTCAAAATAGTATTGCACAAGGAAACAAGGAATGGTAGACAATTCATGCAGCAACTGGATCAAGCAACCCTTTTTTCCCTCATCTTTCCCACTTCCAAACCTTTTGCAGCTACACTCTTGCCCTCCCCTGAAAAAAGAATGCCTTATCCAAGGTCAGAAACATGATGAAGCTGTTCCTTTAGTTACCTTGGATTAAATAATGTAAAAATCAATGTACTGTGTGGAATCTACTAGTTTTTTCTCTTGCTGCTTAACATCAGCTTAGCACAAATGTTCATTAAAATTTATTATCATAAAACCAATACAACCCTGTGCATGCAATATTATAAAAGACCATTTATAGTGACAGCTGATGTGCGTAGAGCCGGACAGGTTGACATGAGCCAGTACGGAAAAAGCCGGCTGGCCTTGCATTCACACCGCTTTGTTGCAAAAACTTAAAGGAAAAACGAAGAGAGTTAAATATAGTTGCGTTTTTCGTTGAATTGTGAATTTTTTGTTCAGACTCGAAAAGACGAAGGAAAAGGTTTCATTGAAGAATGTATTTCATGGTTCCCGTGAGCGCCCGTCCTCTATCGCATACTAAATAAGTTGAAACAAACATCTAGTGGTCATATGATAATAACGTTGCGCTCGGTCCGCACTGCCACGACCTCGGGCCAAAATTCCCCACCACGGCCCTTACGCTCGGTTAGCAAAAAGTTAACATTTCTTTTTTTTTTCCTTCGTGATGACTGACCTTTTCACTGCGGTATAACACAACCCCAGGGAAGTCAGAGAAATAGTCACATGAAACACTATAGCTGTTGATCCATATTCTGCGACGACGGACTTCAGTCTGTCCCTTAGCGCCAAATTCTTTCCACCTTCTTCTGTTTTCGCTGTATTTCCTGCTGCAGGTTTATCTGCTACTCTGAAGGTAGATGTATGTAATGGTCTCCCGAAACGTAACAATAATGAATGGTCACTTCGAGCAGGAGATGGAACACCAGTTATGACAACGTTACGCATGAACGAAACAAGGGCTACTTGGCGTTTTGAAATCCCCCGACAGTTTGCCATAACAAGACGTAGAGAAGAACTTGAAATCATAATGCTGTGCATACAGGAGAAGCCGAGGAGTTAAATGCACAAATCTTACCCAAAGACTCTTCCGGACAAAGCTTTGACTGATGAAGAACAAATTCGCTCAGGCGTTCCATCAGTGTTATGCAAGCGAGGCGGCTAATTGAAGTCGTTCCCAGATCTCCCTCTCTAAAGTGAAGAAACTTGGAATGAGTTTTCTTCGTGAGGTAGAGAGCTTTAAAGCAGAAAAGCTAAAATCGGTAAATACAACAGTCACTACAGCAGAGGGAAGGAAGGTGAAATTCAAAAATCTTTCTGAGCCAATTGAAAGGGGACTCTTTATCTTTAAACCCCGCCATATTAAAAAGTTGCAACATGTGTATTCCACTGGAAAGACTTAATATTTCTGTTTCAAAGTCCCCTACCCCACCCAGGCAAGCTTTAAATTCCCCACAGCCATTTGTGACAAATGCTCGTGGGTTGCCATGGAGAGGGGGGGGGGGTTTGGGAATGGGATATTGAAGCTTCAAAGTGATCTGAATTATTTTATTCCTAGATATAATCACTGGGCTGTAACTTAACCAGTACCTCATTTTAAGTTTCTAGAGCTCAAGGGTGGAGATGGAGGTATCATCACTGTAGATACTGGAGAACACAGCTTAGGATTTTGCGAGGACCTCTCACCAGATGACAAGCTTTACAAAGTACTGGACAACTTATTTTTAAGCTCACAAGATGGAGCCAGAAACTTGGAGGAACTTCAACAAAATAACATAACTCACATATTAAATGTTGGAACAGGAATAGAGAATGCCTTTCCAAAGGTGATTGGTCATTGTTGGACATGGTTCTCTAGGTTTGACAATAATATCTTTCAACATCTTTTCCTGTCTAGCAGTGAAGTTCTTAATTTACACATTCTTTTCATCACTTGCTCCATGTAGACACAACCCTTTTATCTTCTAGAGAGGGGCAACTTTTTAGTGGCTCAAAAGGGTGTTGGTTTTTGGTCTTGAACCTTAAGTAAGGTGTGCAATCTTACTGTTAGGTATCCAAAGCAGGGTGTCTCTTCCCATTTCAATATTTTTTAAGTCTTTGTTTGAATATGCTAGGAGTGGATTAGTAAGGACAATGTGGAAACATAAGTACTGGTTTTTTTTACTTGAACAAAAAGCATCACCCATTAAAACATGGTCAGGTTTTAAAGGTGCCATTGGCACATTCTCATCCATACTTCCCTTCAGTGGTTCCCCCCCCCCTTCATCTTCCCTTTCCCCCAAACTATAATCCTGATCCTTTAATTCAAAGTCACACTTTAAGGGCCTTAGCTACAGGCATGCTCCCACCTACTTCCCTTTAGCAATGACCTCCCCTGCCCCCCCCCCCCCCACCACAGGTCATCCCTTTTTGCACATTCATTGAAAGCAGCATGTATGTTGATTTTTCCTTCCAGGAGTTTGATTACAAGACTGTTGAGGTACTGGATTTGCCAGAAACTCCCATTTGCCAATACTTCCCCGGGATGTTTGATTTTATCCAAAATGGCTTGGCAAGTGGTGCAGTGCTTGTTCACTGGTAAGGGAACCTTGGTTAATTAACCCTTTACATCCTAACATCAGTGTCCATATTCTCCATACTGTTCTTTATACATTTCCTAAAGTGCTAAAAAAGTGAATTTGTGAAACAATGAACAATTTCTTCAGCTGGTGATCATTTCCTTTATTCTCACAACCTTAAAGTGTGATTCAGGGATGTTATTGTGAGGAGAAGTTAGATCCCAGTCACTCTTTTAAGGGTTAATGCCTCCAAGAGAATAAGGACCAGAGGAGAAGGATAATATTTGGCAAGTACTCACTATGGACAGATCAAGTGTAGTTGTGTGTGTCTTGACTGAGAGACAAATATTTTCCAGTCTGGCCCAACCTCATTCAATAACGCACATTATATCTTACAACCACTAATTGCAGAACATTCTGGAGGCAAGGTGTATACAGCACAGGTACTGAAGATCATCCAGGAAAAAAAACTTGTCCCATCATTTCTTTCTTGACAGAATAAGAAATTCAGGATTCATGAAAAAAGTGTTGACTGAGATTTTTTTTTTCAAGTTCAATTCCACAATTTTTGTTTTACAACACAGCTGTGTAAGCACAGGGCTAGACAGCTTTATCCCAACCTGAGGCCCAGTTCTTGAAAGTCCCAATAGTTTTTAGAGGCTCAAAGCCATATTTTTAAAATCTAAATGAATGGAATTGTAGTTTGGCTCTTTTAATCAAAAGCCTGTATGTTCTGTTTTCTCCCCATCAGTTCATTGTTTGAATCTCCAAAGTTCTTCATATCCTGAACTTGAATGCAAAGATAGTAAAAGCAAACCAGCTCTTTAGGACCTTTTTGGTCATGTCCAGGAGAGACTAGCCTCTAATTTCTCCTCACAATACCACCTCAAATCACACATTAAGGTCACAAGAATCACGAAAATGATCACCAACTTAAGAAACCCTTGAATGCTATACAAATTCTCCTTGTCAGCATCTTAGGAAATGTATACAGGACAGTATGGAGAAGATGTATTTGGATGTTTGGGTATAAAGGGTCGATACTGTGATGTGGGTGCATATTTATCTGGAAAAAATGGAATGTCTCTCATTTATTTCTTGATAGCAATGCTGGTGTTTCTCGTTCTGTGACTGTCGTTCTTGGCTACTTGATGTCTTCAAAAAGATTGCCACTGGAAGAGGCTATGAAGATTGTTAAAAAAGCCAGACCAAGTGCAAAACCTAATGTAGGATTCCTTCATCAACTAGAAGACTACCAGACAAGGCTTCATCTTCATTAAAAGAACACAAGAAACAATATCCTAATATTAAGAAGTGATTGTAAATATATGAAAATAATGTTTGTGAACTGCGTTTGAGAAATGAATAGGAAAGTGGTCTTTGTAGTAATGAACACTACTTAAGCACTAGTGAAAATAAGGACTAAAAAAAATTCAGGCCTGTATGGGATTTGAAGCCAAGTTCTCTGTGATACCATACTGTGATGCAGTGCTCTACTAACTGAGCTAACATGCCAACTGGGAGCTTGTCATTATTTTTGGTTTGTAACAAACCGGTGAAGTGAGTTATGATATCACAGCTTGAACATTTCTTTGAACAGTTTAGGATAATTACCGTAATTTCCGGTCGTTTACCCGCGGGTAATCTGTTGATTTTGCATTAAACGCGCGCCACTGCGGGTAATAGGGAGGTGCGGGTTATGTGACAATTTTAAAATCTAGTGGTAGTTGAATTGAAAAAAATTATCACCAACATGCGTTTCCACCTCTCAAGTGAATTTTATTGTATTAATAGTGCCGCAAAGCGGCACGAAAACATGATGCCGACTCAAGTTTATTTCACGCACGAACAAATTGCGACGAACAAATTGCTATCGGCACGCGTGAAAACAAAACCTTGATGGTGACAAAAATTATTAAAAGATATCCGGCGCATCAGTAACAAATTTCCATTTAACACTAGCTTGAGCTAAAGAGAATTTTCCCGTTTTAAGGGACTTGTTAGGCCCAATAGAACTGGAGATATCGATTTTTTCAGAAAAACAAAACAAAACAAAACAAAATGAGCTCGAAATTGGGCTGGGGAAGCTGGGGGGGGGGGGGAGGGGGGTGAAGGGGCAGGGTAATGTGATCCAAAATTTAATGACCTTCTCTAGTGCGAAGGAGAAAAGGATAACTCAGTTGTTGTAGAAGCTTCCTTTCTTCCTTTTTAGTCAAATTTGAGGATGCTTCCCTTTAATATACCGTTAAATGCCTCCTCAACGTCGGGTTGCCCTGCTGGTTCCTCTTTAGCAAACGAAACGGAAGCAGCAATGGTTCTTGTTGGAATCAACATCGTGGCAAGTATTTTAGGCACCTTGGGTAACTTATTCGTATGCATTACAGTGTGTACCACTCGAGGCATGGTCTCAAGTTTTCATTACTTCATCGTAAGCCTTGCTGCCGCGGATTTGATGGTTGCACTCTTGGATCAACCTCTCCTCGTTTCTATGATTTTTGCACACGTAAAATTCAAATGTATTCCGGTCGTGGATAAAATGTGTCGCGCAATAGGCAACTTTGCGTGTGCTGTCTCGTTGTTGACACTGGCCTTGATTGCTCTCGATCGGTGCTTGTTTGTATTGCCATCGATTAATTACAAGAATACGATGACAACAGGAAAAAAAATAGTTTTAGCAGTGGTGTGGACTTTAGCTGGTGGATACGCTGCTCTAAGGCTCACTATGAACAAAACGGTCACATCCTATCTTACTGCCGCCGTGTTTGGCGTTTGTTACGTAGAGATGATTCTATGTTACACTGTAGTTTATTACCAAGTCTTCAAACAACGCGAATTTCTCAAAGGGTCACGTGTACGCTCTGAGACAACAGAGCAAGTCGAATCACTGGAAAACAAAGCCCAAGAAAATATTTCAGAGCGGCGTTTTGCTCGCACGATCGTTATGGTTTTGTTGGTTTTCACGGGAGGATGGTTTCTCCTTTTCTATCTTCGGTTGACACAACCTAAAAAGAACTACGGAATCAAGTACAATACTGGACGCACTATGGCACTTTCAGCTTCTGCCATAAACCCTGCACTATACTGCCTCAATAATAAAGAATATTGGCGAGCGTTCAAAAGTATTTTAATGAAATTCGTCTGTGTTCTTTCAAAGAGAAAGCGAAGGGAAAACTATGAACGGATTATGTGAAAGCGGAAGTGCAACCCCGGAAGTGAAACTTAGGAAGTGACCGTGACATACTCATGTGACTATGAGACATTGCAAAGTCAAAGTGGTGTGGAGGACATTTCTTTGCTGTGTAAAAGTGAAAAAATAATGAAACAATATTAAGACGATATGTAGCGAAATGGAAAAGTAAGTGAGTTTGTTCTGCTTTGCTAATCTTTTAACTAGATTTAAATTTTTGTTTTGGACCAGTCCTTACCGAAAAAAATCGTATACAGGATATACAACTTAATTTCCAGGTTCTCTTCTTTCCGTCTTCCTTCTGTCGCTCCTCTTGGTGGGAAGACGGGTTAAGTGGGTATATTTCCGTGGACCGGAAGTCTTTATGAGGACGTTTTCGTTGCTGGTGCGCGATCTACATGTTTTGTTAGAAGTTCTTTTTTTAGTCTCCAAGATTTTCTGTTTTCGTTTAGATCATCGTTCAGGGCACACAATTAATGAAAGAGGAGACACGGGAAACTTAGTGAACGCAGAAGTTACAAATTAACATTTAATTGTAATGCGCAATTGAAAATTCTTATATTGATAATTGCGCAATATAAGTCTAGAAATTATTTTTATTTTAAATTAAACGGTCATTCTCGCACTCTTTCTATGGAAAAGGAATAGAGGAGTATATGTGTATATATATATATAGATACACAGATAGATAAATAGAGATGGATTTAGATATAAAACTTAAGAAAAGATTAAATAAAAAGTAAAAAGTGGGGAAAAAAAGAGCCGTAGACATATGTTAAATACATACATATGTTAAAACTGGTTTATTGAGCTCAATTTACAACAACTCTCTGTCTCAAACAGGGTTACGAAATCAAAATTGTTCAGTAGTGTCAAGTACGGATAGGACTCCAAGAAATCTTCCTAACCCACCCTCTTAATTTATGATTAACTACTTCTCTTGAGTGATCCCCCGGTCAACTCCGTGAGCTGACATTAAAGGTTAAGGGAAAAAGTACGAATAATAAGTAAAGATTTTTTTTTTCGTCCATCACTCTAATGATCCTATGAATCTATGTCATAAATGTTACTGCAAATACGAAAAACTTGGATTGGCCTTTTAGCTTGGCAGATAGGGATGAATTTGCGTAACTTCTGGCATGAAAATGCTTTTTTTTATGAATCTGGGTACGAGATTAGGCTGGACCATGAAATGTTACTGCAAATACGAAAAAAAGCAAAAGTGTATTTATTTATTTCTAGCATGCCTCGACTTCTTGCATATTGGCTGACGATATTTAACGTTGGACAGTGAAAATATTGCATTTTTGATGGTTGACGGTTTACACTATTGAGACCGTCATGAAGCGGTGCCTAATGTTGTTTTATTTCAGACGAGTAAGCATGTTTACGTTATCATCGTGAAACCGCAAGGATACTTGGGAATTATGAAAATCCCAAAAGAGTCCAAATGAGGACATGTGACAGTCGGGTGAAAAATAAATGGGTTCACGTGTACGTTTTTCATATCTTTGGTGCTAAGACACGCTTTGCAGTAAGTTTATACAGGTCAAACGAGAAAACGCAAGCTTTCGAGCTAGCAACTAAGTCATGTTGGGAAGCTTTCAAACTCAGTTAAAAGCCCTGGCGCTAGGCGAAGGTAAAGGAGATTTTTCAATGACAATTCTCAATTTCTGTTGCGGTGAAGCTAGTAAGCGTGTTATTTGCCTCAGAAAGCGATATCCCTCGTCATACTTATAATTGTTCCTTTCGAACCTTTTTAAAAATATTTCATAGCATCTCACGCATTGAAAATGAGGACAATTTTAAACAAGCAACACATGTCTGTCCATTTCATTTTCCTGTTTCAGTTTCCCGTTTAGTCCAGAAAATTATGGCGTGCGAAAGCAAGTCATTGACAGCCGTAAGTTTGCCAAGAGTTGAAATTGTATTTTTATACATCAACAAACTTAAAATCTGAAACAATGAGTTAACGGAAGTCCACTGCCTAAGCTCGAGAGCAGTTTTCATCTCATCGAAAACAGTATAAGTACAAACTCAAGGAATTGTTTGCGCCAAAAACATTCAACTAAATGAGTCATGTCACAATTTTAAGTTGGATCCCGATCGGTGTAATCTTTATTTGCATTTGTGTGAAAAAAACACCGAATTCAAGTTCTTTTTTCGTTGTGGCGGAGCGGAGAGCGAAATTATTGAACTCGTCCGAGGAAAGTGTTTTAAGAAATACAAGGAGGTCTTCAACAAATTCGGTTTTCCTCTCCATGGTTTTAGAATAATTAATTTCGTCCTTATTGGCCTTTTTTTGTGCTTTTTATTCCCAACTAATGGGAACTACAGTCGACCGACTTGTCACAAAAAACTCTCCGTGAGACAGTGCGTTTTAGAGAAAAAAACTTTTCATCGCCAACTGTTCTCAACTATCCACAAGACTTGTTTTAGGAGTTCTTTTCATCATCCTACAAAAAAGTTGTTTTATCCTTTAAAGTTTTCAGTCCTCCATGTTTGACTGTTACTTAACTTCTGGAACCAATCAGCCTAGAATTTCAAATGACGCCACCCAAATCTCTACTTTTCACGAGTGTATCAATTAACAAGCGAGCAAAAAAAAAACCAGTTGCACGAAAAACCTAAACTGAAAGAAGAAGGACACGAACATGAAATTGTTCCTTCACAGCCAAGAAAGTATGAACGCTCTTCGTTCCGGAGCGAATTGCGCGAAAATTCTCAACAGAAAAAAGGAAAAGAGGAACATGAAATTGTTTCCCTTCAGTCAACAGAGCGTGAATACTTTCTTTCCGAAAAGGGCGAACATGAAACTGTTCGCGAAAATCCTCAACAGACAACAGAGCGTGAATACTTTCTGTCCCAAGGCGAGTTACACGAAAACCGTCAACAGAAAGAAGGAAGAGACGAACATGAAACTGTTCCCCTTCAGCCAAGAGAGCATGAACACCCTCTGCTACAAGGCAAGTTGCACGAAAAGCCCCAACAGAAAGAGGGACGAGGCGAACACGAAACTGTTCCCCTTCAGCCTAGTGAGCGTAAACACCTTCTGTCCCAAGGCAAGTTGTACGAAAAGCCTCAACAGAAAGAAGGAAGAGAAGAAAATGAAACTGTTTCCCTTCAGCCAAGGGAGCGTGAACATCCTCTATCCTTAGGCGAGTAGCACGAAAAGTCTCAACGGGGAGGGAGCGCTAAATAATCCGACCGAGTATCGTGCTACGATACTGTGAGCAAAGACCAAACTAATGAACTACCAAGAGAAAGAGGGAGAGAGGGGCCACTTCCGACCCCTCCCCTACAGTAGTTTCTCATTCTCACCACCACTTCCCTCGTACATCTTTTTACTTACTCCATGCTTTCCTCGATCTTACCGCGTCATGACGAGGCTTACATTGCTAATAAAGTGTATTTTTCTTCTGTTATGAAAGAAAATGGCATTATTAGGTGATGACTGCAATGGCCGAGAAGTGCGCAAATAAGCCGCGTTCAGGGACGACTACTGCAAACTAAAGTTGCTCGCACAAAATTGACCGATCCAATAACATTAAACCAGCAATGGATTCTATTTGAATCATTTTTCATCTTTTCTTGCTTTGGTCCTGGTCACCGGTAATTATCCGTTTCCTAAAATGTAATTTGTTGTTTTTGCATAAACGACTTCGGTAACTGAAGTGGCCTGTTCGTTACGTGAACACTAATTGCGTTTCTAGCTGGTGCGTTACTCAATTCACTGAGTAGAGTAACACAATAACCAGTAACGGATTTAGTGACACTCATCAGTCCCAGATGAAGGACTAAAACATTTGCCTTAGCATTTCTTAACTACTAAGTTTCAACTAGGTTAGAACTCTGTCACAATGTATTGAAAGAACGATGAAAACAGCGTTTGTGTAAAGCAGTTAATCAGACGAAGCGAAAAGCTGCTGTAATCGTAATTGAACTCAAATATTTCATGAAACTGTTAAAAATTGAAAAGTACTTAAAGCAATCAAGGAAATTGAAATTTCTGATTTGGTCCAAGACAAAACATCAGCCTTATCGTGGATTCTGGGATTAGGACATCTCTGAGATGCGTTAACTGTTTCTTGTTATCTTTTTGACAGCGCCTGCGGGAAAGATGAAATGAATCTTGTATTCTGATTGGCTATTCGTCTTGCCCGCTCGTAATACTTATTTTGATCAGGCGGACCTAGGCTGAGGATTACAGCTAGAGTTGTCGCGTAGAGAGGTTATGTTTGAACAATACTGGCAATAGATTCGCAAAAAAGTTGCAGAAGGTAGTCAAAACTATGGAAGCTGATAAGGGACAATTCCAAAATATATTTGAGATCCAAAACAATATTTTGAATCGGAATTTTTTATTCGGATCCTTTTTTGGAAAGTTTTCCAATCTGAAAAACATGAAAAATGTTTGAAATCGCCAAAAATATTTTTGCAAAGTACCACTTGTGCCTGCGGTCAGTTGGAGTCCGAGGCTTACCGACGTTGCCGCTATTCAAAATGACGGACTAGTTTTAGTAATCATTTTTATGATAAAAGTAACAGTTCTCCTCACCCAAGTGATCGTGTCGTTCAGATTGCTCGAGATGGACAGCATGTAGGCATCTTCAAACAGTTTCGTAACGTTTTTACACTCTCAATAGTAAGAGCTCGCTTAAATTGCGATACATTTTTTTCTTGTCCATATTTTATGTGCATTCCACCGCACGGGTTAATTAAAATTTATCTTCTTTTGGTGAAAATAAAGTATTTCTTGTTGGAACCGATCCTGCTTGAACTGCAGTTCACTTGCCTCTTTCATTGACTAATGGGACAGAGCGTCTTTTAGAAACAAAATAATTTTGTCTTCAAATGTACTTTGTTGCAAGGTGAGGTACAAGTCACCTAGGGTGATTATCTCAACTCGCGCTCTGTATGTCTTGCTGCTTACACCAGTTACCTGTCAGTTTCAGTGAAAAACGCGTGGAATTATAATGTGGGTCAACAGCCACCGAAATATTTTTAACACTCCAATTTTCATGAAACAATTATCAACACGAGAGAGCATGATTTACAGATATCGCAAGCAGTCAGGGTATGCGTTATGCTCCATACATCACTGTGATGGTTAACGACTCGTCACGCTTTACTTAAGCTTGAACCATTTCAGAGAAATCGCCGTTGGCCAGAATTATTACAAAACTGAATTGCCTCTTACAGAACAGATGGGTGTGCGTCAAAGAACAGGCAGATGTGCATCAAAAGTTCGATTGTTTTGCATACTTACTAAACACTGATGCGATTGATACGATGCTCAGATACGACCGCAGGATGTATTTCGGAAATTAGAGGATAAAATACCATAAAATGAAATTTGGTTTATTAATAGATCCCTTATTCGATGATTTAACAAATAATTCGAGCGGAATTTTTCTTATTGCTTGAATGTTTCCTTGCCCAAAGGCGCGCAAAAAATACCACATAACTTGCGAAAAGTCCTTACATTCATAGAAATTATATGATATTAATTATATTATACGAGAAAGTGAACAAGAACGACTGAAAATCCTCTTTTAATGTAATCTCTACAGTAGTTCTATTTTTTGCCGAAGAATCCAACCCACTTTCTTGTTCAAATTACTTTAAACCGACGGAAGAAGATCTCATTACTCTCAAATTCCTTTCCATATTTAGGCAGGCAGAACATCGTTAATATCGTTAAGGCATAATGTTCTCAACTCGTTTCTCAATCTCGCGCTCCTCCGTCATTTTTAATAGCGATAAAGTTGGTACGCCGCTTGGCACAAGTAATATTTGGCAAAAAAAACATTTGCGATTTCAGGCATTTCTCCGGTGAATTTCACGAAGAATCTTGGATCGCAAATTATTTTGGGGTTTTTTTGGAAAATTTATTTTTGACTCCAATAATTTCATCAGGATTTGTAATTGGTTTTTGGATTTGAAAAACTTTTTAGAAAGGATAGAAAAATATGATTAAAAATATTTTTTTGGATTTCAAAAATATTTTGGGATTTTCCCTATCGGCTTCCATACCAAAACAAATAAAGGATAAACAAGCATGCTTCATCTCATATGAGTTTCTTTTCCAATACTAGAAAATGAGAAAGTCATTCTTTTGCTATACGATAAATCTGTTATAGACCAAGCTTTTTCGGTCAAGATCGCAGAATATTAGCCTCGCTCTTTTTCTGCGTTTTTATGAACCTAGTCTGCGTCTTAAAAGAGAGTTTTCAATGACAATTGGCAAGTTTTTTTTAGTGACGCTAGTAAGCGTGATTTGCATCAGAAAGCGAAATTTCTTCCCATGTTTGTAAGTGCTCCTTTGTCCCTCTTCCAACAACTTTTCATTGCATCTCACGCATCACAAATAAGGAATATTTGACACGAGCAACACGAAGGTGACCATTTCATTTTTCTGTTTCAGTTTCCTGTGTATTTTACAATACAAACAGTATTGAAACGATGGATACTCTTAAGGAATTATTTGGGCCAAAAACATTTAACAAAATAAGCCATTTTACAGTTTTAATCTGGATCCTGATCGCTGTAATCTTCCTTGGCATATTTGCCGCCGTGGATAACACTGAATTCAGGTCTAATTTCCACTGTGACGGAGCGAAGGGCGACATCACTGAATTCAATCGTGGAAAATGTTTCGATCAGTACGAGGGGAAATACAACAAATACAGTGTTCCTATCTATGGCTTCGTGATCATCAATTTCCTCTTTATTGGAATTGTTTGTCTTATTTACTCTCAAGTGGTGAGACCTACAGTCGATCAACTGTCGCTCGACCAAACTGGAAACAAGCTTTTTATCGCTTACTGCTTTCAACTATCCTTAAGACTTGTTTTACGAATTATTTTCATCATCCTACAAACTCAGTTGCTTTATCCTTTGAATTTTTCCACTAACTTTTACTGTGATTTAACCGATGGAACCACTCAGCTAAGGAATTCATGTAACAGCACCCAAAACTCTACTTGTTACAGATGTAACAATCAGCAGGCAATCAAGAAAACTTTCTGGTTAAACGCTGTCCTTGCAGTAAATGGAATTTTTGTCCTTGTAATTCTGATTGAAACCGTCTATATTTTGCTACGGGCATGGAAAGAAAGAAGTTTTATGCAAAACTCAGAGTTTCTTAGAGCACATCTAAATCCCCCCAGTAGCAATTCGCACCAAAAACCTAATAAGCAAGAAGAAAGAAACGAACATGAAACTACAACAGAGCCAGGAGAGCATGAAAACCGTCTGACCCGAGTCGAGTTACACCAAAAACCACAAAAGCAAGATGACATTGTCCCACGACAGCCAAGAGAGCGTGAACATCTTCCTACCCAAGGCGAGCTGAACGAAACACCTGAAAAGAAAGAAGGAGGTGACGAACATGAAACAGTTCCCCTACAACCGGGAGAGCATGAGAATCTTCCTACCCAAAGCGAACTGAACGAAACACCTGAAAAGAAAGAAGAAGGTTACGAACATGAAACAGTTCCCCTACAGCCGGCAGAGCATGAGAATCTACCTACCCAAAGCGAACTGAACGAAACACCTGAAAAGAAAGAAGGAGGTGACGAACATGAAACAGTTCCCCTACAGCCGGGAGAGCATGAGAATCTTCCTACCCAAGGCGAGCTGAACGAAACACCTGAACAGAAAGGAGGAGGTGACGAACATGAAACAGTTCCCCTACAGCCGGGAGAGCATGAGAATCTTCCTACCCAAAGCGAGCTGAACGAAACACCTGAACAGAAAGAAGGAGGTGACGTACATGAAACTGTTCCCCTACTAGCAGAGCATAAGAATCTTCCCACCCAAGGCGAGCTGAACGAAACACCTGAACAGAAAGATGGAAGTGAAGAACATGAAACTGTTCCCCTACAGCCTGCAGAGCATGAGAATCTTCCCACCCAAGGCGAGCTAAACGAAACAACTGAAAAGAAAGAAGGAGGTGACGAATATGAAACTGTTCCCCTACAGCCAGGAGAGTGTGAGAATCTTCCTACCCAAAGCGAGCTGCACGAAACACCTGAACAGAAAGAAGGAGGTGACGAACATGAAACAGTTCCCCTACAGACAGGAGAGCATGAGAATCTTCCTACCCAAGGCGAGCAGAACGAAACACCTGAACAGAAAGAAGGAAGTGACGTACATGAGATT